CCCCAAAACCCCAAAACCCCAAAACCCCAAAACCCCTAAAGATTGAATAAATTTTATTCTCGACTATTAAGCATTTATTGCTGAGAATTATACATCATATTTATATAATGGTCTAAATTATAATTCAAGATAGATCCTCTTCCTCTCCATCGGATCCCTCATCTTCCATTTCCTCCTCTTCTATTATACCATTCATGGTATCATCTATAGGTAAATTTTTCAACTCTTATGCATCTGTAGATTCATTAAATACAAGCTCAAACTTATTATCAGTGCAATCAGGGATCATATGTTTCTTAGCATTAGGCCAAGGTGGAGGTGGAAACAATGGATCAACAGCGATTCTAAAGAAAATAAATAATTATTTAAATTACTTGACTGCATTTTCGATCATAGTTGGAATGAGCCTAGCTAGATATGGGGCAGACAATTCTAGACATGGATTGGTATTGACTTCGATTAGCCAAGGTCTTAAATCCTCATCAATCATGAAGTCATACCCAAATATTTCAAAAGTGTTATGTCTTCTATGAGGGTCTAGTTTCCTTGAAACAGCTTTGATAGTGTCAGTCGCAATTTTCTTTAACTGTGGAACAATCTCTTTTACAATGTTGCATTTTACTTCGATCGAGTCGAGATACTTTTAGAAATCTGAGTATGATAGCTAAAAATAATAAGAGTTAAATTTTTCTTACTTTATTCCCTGACTCAAATTTACCATAATCGTCTGACTTCTTTTGAACAGCGTCATTAGTTAGATGGATCAATCTGTTAGTTACATTTTTGAGATTGAAATCTTTACTACTTGTTCTGAGATATCCTTCATTATACCAATATCCTTGCATGTTTCCATTAACAGTTGTGATCAATGCATAGCATCTGATGTCAAACTTTCTGTTTTTATAAAGCAGAGGCTTTTCAATATATTTTTATATTATATAGGATCTTTTTTACCCATTGACATTAGTGTTTGAAACTATTTCTCTTATTTATTGTATCTCTCTACACACTTAAATACCACAGCCTCTATTAGTATTTTCACCAGGCTTCACAATCCATATAGTTTTCCCAAGTTTATCAAGATTGCCATATTGGCCATTATCATTTCCTTTAAATATTTCTTAGAATTTTAAGAATTCTTTGTCATTTGGACCTTCCTTAACATGGAAAGTAAGGGGTAGGACTTTCCACCAATCTTATCCAATAGACTCATAATATATCTTCATATTGTAATAAATAGCTTTTTTATTACTGAGATGGAAATTATTTTCCATGTGGCCGTAAGTTATTATGCTATGAGATGTTTGCTATTTCGGTTCTTTTTCTTCATTATTTGCTGCAGCAGCTGCATTTACATTTTGTAATTTGATGTTTTTACTAGCGCTATTACTTATAGAACTATTAGCACCTTTCTTGTTTGCTGCTAAGTTATTTTATGTTATTTAACTGGCATTCTGAGGAAGTGTTGATGCTCTTTTTCTTCTAGTAGGAGTAGCAAGAAGAGTCTCAACAGAGGAATTACTATCTCTGTCAGTTACAGTCATCTGAGTAGACAGCAAAGAGTCAGAAGTACCTACTGCTGTAGTTCCACCAGAGGTTAGGCCTGATCTAGTTCCCTCATCCTTTTATGCTTAAATTACATCCTGATTGGATTTTATCACACTAATAATTTTGTTGGATTTCCACTATGTCCAAATAAAGTTATACTCATGCCACTCCTCAAAATCTCCCATAGACCACCAAAATCTTTACTTAAGGCAGTTTCTTACAAGAAGAGAGTTATTACCTTTACCAACATAATATTTGTATGGCACAAAGCTAGTTTTTGGAAAATTTATGCTGATACCATTGCTTTGATTTATTTTTAGCAGAAATTCTTTGTAATATTTCTCCTTAAGCTCTAAAAACTTTTCTTTATCTTTTGGATTAGATAAATTTTTGGCCAACTTCTGCATCTAATTGCTTAATTAATCCAATGACGACTATGGAACTGTTACAGCATTTTATGGATTAGTGTTGGTATTTGAACCTTTCTTTTGCTATTGATCTTTTGATCCACCAGTAGGTAGACTTTTCTTTTTATCATTCTTATCAGGAGCACCTGATTTTTATTTAGCCAAAAGTTTTTCATTCATTTTCCTTTAAATAATCATCAAGGAAGTATTAATGAAAGATCTCTTGAACAGTTGACTTTGAAACATTCTCACAAGATTATCTATTCTCGGATCTTATGGTTAGGTTGTGCCATCTGTAATCATAAGAGTTTCACTATCTCCAGTACTCTTAACAAAAGAGGAGGTTGTTCCGACTTTTGCACTTTCCCTTAGAGCATATTAAGAGTATTTGCAATAGATACATTCATTATCAAAATCTCTAGCACTCTGTTTAAACTCATGGAGTACCTTGAACATATTTTCATTGATGATCTTACCAGCTTAAATTAGGGCAAGTAAAAAGGATTTATGAGCAACAATAGCTTACTCCAGTCCAAGTTCTGTCATTAAAGTTGGTCCTCTGGTAGATTGTGAAGCATAAATACCGCTGTTATTTGAATTTTTACTGTTTTCATAATCAGTAAATAAAGATTGACATATAGCATTTTCGATTATTTTCAGATGTGCTATTGGATCATTCATACTCACCTTATTCTATTGATGGCTGGGTTTGGTAACTTAACCACTCTAATTTGGGTTTGTGGGATTTTAAGCTGAGTTTGTGGTCCTCTTTTCCTCCTCCTTAGCACATTCCTTAAAGAAGACTTTCCTTAATACTTCTTCTTTCTTTTTATAGGAATCGTCATACTTGACATTATTATAAGAAGGCTAATAGAAAGTGAAGTTGTTATTATGATTGCAGTTTGGATTTTTGTTTCTTATTCTTCTAGTTTAAGCCATTGCATTTTATGAATTCTAGTTAGGTCCTGTGACACCAACCTATGATGTTAGTAGTAATACTCTTTTATGGAATCCACAAATAACAGGTATTTTGGGTTAAACTTCTTATTGAGCATTAGGCTATTAAGTCTTTGATTTGCTTAAATCTGACTCTAATAGCTTATCGGGAGAATTTTCATCTGATTTTTAATCTCTCATTTGATGATAGTGCTGCATCTAATTTTTATAGGTATATGAGTTCATTCGCTAATATTCTGCACTGTTAAGATTTTATAGCATTGGACTATTCTCATTTTGATTGTTCTAAAGATGGGCATTTAATGGAGATAGATTATTAAGATGAGTATTCTAATCAAAGGAGGTTTAAATTTACCCCATCTAAGTCTTATACTAGAATTAGTTGGGATATTAGAAAGGACCAGCTTACTCTTTATTACTCCCTGTTCTTCTCGCAAAGAATTATTATTTTTGTTATTAGCTAATAAACATTTGTTATTATTAGCTTAGGATATTTTCTTACTACTTAGATACATTATTTCTTCTCTTATTTGATTAACTGGACATTATCTGAGGAGTCAATGCAAGCTAATGCTAATCATCATTACTAAACGTCTGTTTATTAAAACCTCCAATACTCATATCATCCTTAATCATGCCATGCTTAATATGATAATCATAAACAATTTAACTCTCCTGTATTCCACCTACTTTTTCAGAATAGTATAGCTATACTTATTTTTGATTACTATCTGAATTGAAACTTTCATCAACATCATGCTGAGTATAAAAAGGTGGTTCATCCTTTTCAGTGGTGTTTCCAGGGTTTGCATGCTTCTGCTAATGATTACTCCTTAGCCTCTTTCTAGTTTTTCCATTCAAGCTTTCACTATGTTCTATCAAACTTTTTGAATAATCATCCTTCAGTATCATGATGTTATTCTCCTGGTTGCTCTGAAGGAGTTTTTTCTAGTTATGATTGAAATCTAGACTATGCTATTATTACGGATGCTAAAGTAGTCTATCCATTAAATTCTTAGTCCCAGTGTAGGTGTTATCAGCTAGTATTGACTACTATCCATTAAAATTATTTAGATTTTAGTTGACTGCTCTAGGTGAAGACATTGGTTTACTATTCATTCTTCCACCTGCTGTGTTATTTGTCTTAGACGCACCCATATTATTTCCCTAAGTATTAGTAAACAACTATTGAGGTACTTAGTTGTTTTGGCTTCCATTTGTATTTTTAAATAGTATTGTGACTTCGTTGCGTAAGTTTGAGATTCTAGGAAGTAAACCGGTCTGATTACTTTATGTACCTAAAATTTTTATAGATTAAGATTATTACCATTTTGATTGATAAGTGTATTTCCTCCAGTTTATGAAAAAATATTTTTCTTATCGTAAGTTTGATGTGTAGAGACTCTATCGTTTTGATGAGCCTTCGCATTTTTGAAATACTGATTATTACCCATATTTGATGCGCTTGTGTTGATGTTCTAAGTTCCACTTACTACTCTATTTGATATTGGATTTTGTTGTTAAAATAATCCTCCTGTCGTTGTCAATCCTCCAAGATTTTGATTAATGTTCGAATTTTATCCTATGCTATTTCTGAGTAGCATAATTTGGCTATTAGTAGTTGACTGATTAGGATTTAATTACTAGTCTCTCGTGATGAGATTACCCACACTATTTAAAGCAGTTGTAGATTTGGTACCTTAGACCAAACTTCCTCCATTAATTTAATTTTGATGCTAACCGATAATGCCTTAACCCATAAGATTGCTCATCACACTTCCTTTATCATTATATCCTTCTCTATTATCTTCAATTGGATTGTATCTAGAAATTTATGAAGATTGTGCATTTTCAAACATTTGAATATTAGGTTTATGATCCATGATATTGCCAGCTACTGTCTTTAAAATACTATGACATTATATTAATGATTGAATGAAGACTAAAATTATTCTTACTTGGTTTGGTGAGAACCTGAAATCTGCATACCGTGATTACTTTTTATACTGGTGATTGAGTCTCTTTCTTTCTATCCTCCCGACATTTGCAAACCATTCACCTTAAATTTCTACTACTGTGAAGAGCTGATGATGTTTTGATCTCTTAGAAAAGGGTTTTGTTAGGGACTGAATTGATTGAATTCCTCTGAAACTGTGTTGCTATTTTCGTGAATGTAGTTTGCAGTATTCGAAATTCTCTAAAGTGCTCCACTCATTGCAGGAAGATTACTACTAACTTACTCAGTTGCTTGCTATGAACTTGAAGGTCTATGCGATCTCTCAAATTAGCTTTCTCTATATCAAATTAAAACATAGTTGTTGCGTACATTTAATGATGATTATCCATTAACTAACGAATGACTCTGTAGTTAATTATTTTATTAATCTATTCAAAATAAAGCTGCCCTATTTCTTACTATGGGGTTTTGGGGTTTTGGGGTTTTGGGG